ATATGTCTTCCACGCTCTCTGCGATAGATTCATTGATTAGTATCTGACAAATTCCATTGTACAGAACGCGTCGAGCTGCACGATTTCTCATCAGCGCGTTTTGTGAATTTCCATAGAATATTGCGACTACTTCACCGTCCTCCTTCGAACCAGAGTACAAATGAGCACACCAGAATCCGAGGTTTCGAGCATACTCCAAGTAGGCAGCCAAAATGATCTGATAGAGCACAGAGCATTCACTTTCCGGCTGAAGGTATCGAAGGCAGTCAACGCATTCTATAAACACGCGTCCCCTATTTTGGGGCAATGAATTCGTCCCATGCTCGTGAGAATAGAAACCGAAAATGCACACTTCTTTTCCATCAACCTCCTGAAAAGCGAAAACCACCTTCTGCCGATAAGAGAAAGGCTCAGTGGACATTCGTTTCGCATGTAAGTACGTTCGCATTTGTGGTTTCACTTGCATAAACTTATCGACACTAGATAGGACACGAATTCTCACTTCACCGGTAATAATGTTTTTCTTATTCTTAAGGAAACGATTCACTCTTTCCTCTATAAAATCACTCAGTCTATTTCTGGGTAGGTTCTCAGCATTTAGAAGATTTCGAGTTGGCGGTCTATTCAAACTTTGCACACAACTTGCGCAAATATAACCATTCGGCCAAATATGTTCCTTGTAGAGAACGCATAGTGCATGAAATCGACGTCCACATTCTCGACACCAGATCAAATACTCATCTGCCTGCGCCTTATTCACAAGAATATCGCTCAATTGGTTCCTTTGAATAAGCCTATGGAGAGGATTTCATTTTTAGCATAGAAAAGTCGCCAACTTACACAGCAGATTTATTAAGGTCATCTGTGAATATACCCTTGTACTCCAATTTTTCAAAGCATGGATAGCAAATCCTGTACAGACTTCTTGAAAGAAGTCGCTTATCACTAAAAGGGATGGAATTGAGCTTAGGTTAAAAAAATTCCTCAATTTACTTATTCACATATTCGAGGTACTCATGACCTGTTCGAATTGGACATTTATTGCCGGTGTCACATGTGAATGTGATGGCTTTATAGTAATAGGTTCCGCAACAATAACCCAATTTTTGCATGATAGGATCAGCAGAGCTGCAAAAAACCCTAAGAAACTTTAAGAGTAGGATCATGAGGTAAAGGTGGTACAACTTACCTCGTTAGCAGCTTTGTGGATCGGTTCACATTCCTCAAAATTTTGTGATACGTATTTGTATATTTGGTGGAAATCCTTCACAACGTCCCATGGATCTGAATACGAACCAGCTTCCAATCCATTCAGTATTGTATTTAAATCCACCTCTGGCAGTGGAACTCTTTGAGAATTGTATCTTCTAGTTGGCCTAAGGTGTTTGAGATCTCGGAAACAGCAACCTTCACTGCTAACTATGAGATTCCTAACAAGTGGGGCAAATACATCATATATCTCAAAGGCGCCCCATCGCTTCCACTTTGTCTTATCGATTGAGTTCTTTTCACTGGCAGGAAATAATTTCTCACTTGCCTTTTCATACCTTTTAATCCAATTTTCTTGTTCCAATTCTGACTTGGCAGTATCAGCCAAATCAAGAGCTATCGCATTATAGGCATCTATACTTTTTGCCTCCATAAAAGCCGCATATTCAAGTCTTGAAGCATAATCAATCACGTCTGACATCATTGGATCGTTATATACCTCAGGATTCGAGTTCGATAGCGTAAAATCTATTCTAAAACCCTGTCTTTTTGAGAAGCAAGAGGCACTTACATGCTATATATCATTTGAGCACGGGATTGAGTGGAAATGTCTAATGATTTGGTGCCTTTGCAAACAATTGGGGCAACTGATAGGTCGCACACCTTTTGCAGTTGTTGGGACTCTTTATTCGGTGAAGTCGAAGTCAACAAACTGAATCCACGTGGAGGCCACTGCCATTGAATCGGATTCGGATCAATTGAAAATTGTAAATATGAGAGAAATTCGGAGAAATCTTCAATTGAAGGGAGGTTTCGCTTATGTTGGACTCTTACAGGTCCGCAAAAATTGCACCCATCCTCCTTGCAGTCTCGATAGTGCTTTAGAAGATCCCTCGATGTCATACAGAAGTTCTCTGTGCACTCTAAATCTTTCCAACAATTAGCAACATGCCTATATAGCTTTGTTGTTTCAGGACAGAAGGCGAAAGGGCAAACAAATGCCTTACTCCAGCTACTTCTGCAAACTTGGACGTGTAGAAGTTCCACCAGCAATTTTTGACCTGCTGTCAGTTCTTCAGGTACCATGTTTTCCATTTCTTCATCACTAAGGCATTAAAACGTTTTGGAGTTAAGTTTAAATTTGAATTTCAAGTACAGAATATTAATCTTGTCACACTATTAACATGAGGTGTGACACGTGGAAGTAATTTGAATTGCGTTTAAACATGTTGCAGCCTAAATGGACCCAGGAATACATAAAAAATATTGTTTGTTAAAAGGGAGCATGAAAATCGATCCATTATATAGTAGTCCGTTGTTGTAAGCTGACCTTACTCTGACTGCAAAGAGAGAGCGGTAGAAAATGGTTGCCAGACCAGACAGGAATGGACTATATCAGACCGGATCCTATTTAGCTTAATGAGAAAACATTTGAGAAAGAATATTAAATCAGTCACCTAGGCTCATCGGACTTCCATTTTCGACGTGACAGGATATGACTAGCCAGACATTAGACCAATGGAATAATTGTGGTTGACGTCACTCTTCCTCAACTTGTCACACTAACGATATCGAAGCAAGATATTCATGGAGTGATAACATAATTATATGTCGTCTAAACACGCTAGTAATTAAAAATATCGAAAAACCCAAAGCAAAAAGAAGCTCCCTTGTTGAGTGATTACTATGTTTGAATTCTTTTTATGGGGCTAAAATAATGCTAATCCCATGTAACGTCACTTTTATAATCTAATTGAGTTAGACCCATTCATATTCCTCCTTTAAGCTAATGAACCTAAACCCTGACACGATGCGACTAGCTTCTTCAAGTTGAGGGACAGTATTTTGGAAAGTTACACTGTGAAAGGAGAGAAAATGAGGAAGTCCATAGAAGTCAGGCATTTTATTTTGGCCTCTTTTGAAAGGACTTGCATTTAATGCGAGGCCAACATTGAGGCTGGGTATTTGGCATTCTAGCATTGTTTCTTATAAGACCTACCTCTCTTGACAATTAGGCATATCTAAGTTGTAATTCGCATGCTTATATTCGTAGCATACAATATTCCCAGTTTATTTAATGCATTAACTCCAGATGCACTAGGAGTACCCCCTCAACCCTCCTGGGCCAAACCGAAGCCCACGCCTGTATTCAGTGTGGATAGTGGGGAGCCCCACTAGAAGCTTAGGGCGGCCGGTGTTTGGATTCGATTAAATAGTTATTGGCCACCTCTGCACACCGCGTGCAATCCTGATGCTCCTCAGGCACTATTTCCATTGTTCTCGCACGCTGTCGACTCGACGGAATTGTTTACCTATTTGTTTTGTCAATATTATGTGCGTTTCTTGTGAGACCATAAATGCCAAAAGCAATCGAATGGCATTAGAGGACTAATAGAGGAGAACTGGTGTTTGAGACACTGATACGATGTTGATCGATTCATCTCGAAGTTATGAAGGTTGCATTTGTCTCGGGATTGTCAGTTCCCAAATGATGCATCTAATTCACACATCACTCTTGCCAATATGCTGTGCACTCCACTCCTCCCATCTTGACAATTCATTGTGGTGTGGATTGTTCGCAGTCTGAGTTTGTTTTTTTTTGATCTCCAACCCTCAATGGCACAGGGTCTTTATTCGATCAATCATTTGATTGGGGTTGAAGTCGGTCTCACATTTCTAACTGGATCGTGTCCCCTTTAGCTCGACTCTATCGAGTGGGTGGATGGATCGAAGTAGCAGAAACAAGGTCATCTGGCGTTTTACTAGCATGGAAGAGTTTTACTGTATAAAATGAACAATCCCCAACCTATATAAAATATTCAAAGAATATGAATTGCAAATGGGGTGGGGCTGGGGGTAGGGGGGGGGGTACAAATTGAAAAGCAAGGAAACAAAAATATCGCCCAGAAGAACTTATAACTCACAAAAATTGATCCATTGTCAATGGGATCTCAGAGACACAGACGGTGCTTACTCGAGTGCGAGTATCGAATTTGTGATTCGCACCGAATAAGTATAATGAGTGCAATTAGTAGGTCAGTTAAATAAAAGAGCAGTACCAATCATCTCTCAAGGCCTGAAATTGACCTCGAATTCGATTCCAGCAATAACGATAATTTCACACCAAACGTGTTTTTTCTCCTAATGAACTTAAATATTGCAATAGTGCTCTGCAGAGGGAACTCCAATTGATTCTATTGCTGTTCTGCACTTAGTCAACATGTCTCAATGGAGTTGCAGACATTGAACACGAAGTGTATTCCTTCCATTTCCTTTTCCTATTTTCTTCCTTCAAAATGCAGTGGGATGTTGGAAACGCCATCGAACCCCCCCCCCTCCCGGTACATTTCTCAATCACCTTCTTTCTTCATTTAAGTTTCTGTGAAAGCTCTCCCTGGTTAACTCCTGATAGGCAATAAGTGTAGCTCAATTTATAAGATGAAAATTTGTTGTTGCAATTATCCGAAAGCTGCGACTTAGTGTAAGAAACTCGTAAGGAAGACAAAATATAAAAATTAAGAAGTAAAACAGACAAAGGAGTATCATATGCCTTGTGAAAAGTTGGCATCTGCTACTCTCGTTTATTGGAGTAGTTCTTCACAAACGCATGAACAATTTCGTAGACTGAGCCAACATGCCAATTTTATGATTATTCGTTGACAATGTAAGTTCGTTGATCTTTTATACTGCCAATAACACAACAGGGTTTTGATGTAAAACCTAATCTGATATAACAGCTCATTTTTCATTTCAATATTACATTTAGTAGGTAGCAGAATTAGTCTAGGAGTTGTGAAAATGCTGCCCATTTGAGGTCAACAGTGTCCCAGAAGCGGAGCTTTAGAAGAAGGCAGGTTTCACATGAATTTAACCTATCTTCAACCCCGCCAAATTATCCGATTTCATTGAGAAATTGGGTTAACAATTTAATTTCAGCCAAAATATTGGTTATTTTTAAAAACTCTGACTAAGCCTAGCTAATATTGAGTAAAAATTGATACTGAAAAAATCTGCAAGAGACTGGTTATTTGTCTTATCTGCAGGGATTAGTAAAGCTTACCCAAGGAGTAATTTGTTTAATATTCTATTCTTAAATAACCAATCTCAATGAACGAATCACAGCACGTTAATTTGATGGCAAACATTATCTTTAGCAGATATAATCCTTCAGGCTTCCAACCTGCCCTATTAAGGCAAAACGCATAAAGTGTGTTCGATATACTTATTTGACCTTCTGTGTACTTTATGCTACCGGGAGGTGCTCTTTTAAACACCACAAAGGACCTTGAACTCGTGAGAGGTCGGTGGAGTTGAAATAGGAGTTTCAGCAAGAAGTGTTCACCTCTTCTATCAATCAGGAGTGAATTCTAGCTAATGTGAACTACTTAATCCCTCCAGTTCTCAGTTTGAATGCTCTCATTTTCACAATTAAGTAAAATTCACAACCACTACCATGTAGCGCCTGCACTCACTGAAGACCTTCACTACTACTCCAATAAACGAGAGTAGCAGATGCCAACTTTTCACAAGGCATATGATACTCCTTTGTCTGTTTTACTTCTTAATTTTTATATTTTGTCTTCCTTACGAGTTTCTTACACTAAGTCGCAGCTTTCGGATAATTGCAACAACAAATTTTCATCTTATAAATTGAGCTACACTTATTGCCTATCAGGAGTTAACCAGGGAGAGCTTTCACAGAAACTTAAATGAAGAAAGAAGGTGATTGAGAAATGTACCGGGAGGGGGGGGGGTTCGATGGCGTTTCCAACATCCCACTGCATTTTGAAGGAAGAAAATAGGAAAAGGAAATGGAAGGAATACACTTCGTGTTCAATGTCTGCAACTCCATTGAGACATGTTGACTAAGTGCAGAACAGCAATAGAATCAATTGGAGTTCCCTCTGCAGAGCACTATTGCAATATTTAAGTTCATTAGGAGAAAAAACACGTTTGGTGTGAAATTATCGTTATTGCTGGAATCGAATTCGAGGTCAATTTCAGGCCTTGAGAGATGATTGGTACTGCTCTTTTATTTAACTGACCTACTAATTGCACTCATTATACTTATTCGGTGCGAATCACAAATTCGATACTCGCACTCGAGTAAGCACCGTCTGTGTCTCTGAGATCCCATTGACAATGGATCAATTTTTGTGAGTTATAAGTTCTTCTGGGCGATATTTTTGTTTCCTTGCTTTTCAATTTGTACCCCCCCCCCTACCCCCAGCCCCACCCCATTTGCAATTCATATTCTTTGAATATTTTATATAGGTTGGGGATTGTTCATTTTATACAGTAAAACTCTTCCATGCTAGTAAAACGCCAGATGACCTTGTTTCTGCTACTTCGATCCATCCACCCACTCGATAGAGTCGAGCTAAAGGGGACACGATCCAGTTAGAAATGTGAGACCGACTTCAACCCCAATCAAATGATTGATCGAATAAAGACCCTGTGCCATTGAGGGTTGGAGATCAAAAAAAAACAAACTCAGACTGCGAACAATCCACACCACAATGAATTGTCAAGATGGGAGGAGTGGAGTGCACAGCATATTGGCAAGAGTGATGTGTGAATTAGATGCATCATTTGGGAACTGACAATCCCGAGACAAATGCAACCTTCATAACTTCGAGATGAATCGATCAACATCGTATCAGTGTCTCAAACACCAGTTCTCCTCTATTAGTCCTCTAATGCCATTCGATTGTAATTTTCATTTATTGATATCGTACGTTTAATGGTACCTTAATAAACCACATAATATGGACTATTATGTATGGAGAGGCTTTAAAAGTAGAATTTCCATTAAAGATAGATTTGTGGTAAATAGAAAATAGCAGAAGTTGTTTCTGCGTAAATATTAATAATTACAATCAGTTCATTTTTTAAATTTTGTTCAGCAGACGAATGATGTTTACACCAGGTGATGTTGTGGAAGACTGATAACTGGATTCGTTGAGTAAATTGGCGAATAGTTGTGTATCGTTCGCAAGTGAGAATTTGGAACATAACTGGAGGTATTTGTATTAGTTGTTATTGGACCGGAGTTGGAATAATCGTTCACTTCAACTCCACTCCCAAGACCATCACTCTCAGTGCTGTTGCTGTCACTCAAAGCTGGACGAGTATTCTGTGAAATAGAGTGCGATATCCCCGGTTGATTCGAAATTATTTCACTTTTATAACCGGAGTAAATTGGCGTTAACTTTGGCGGACTTATCATCTAAAATGGTACAAATGCTAATCTACTGATATAATTTAAGTAGAAAGTACAGTGTAACTAATTTGGTATACCGTGGAATTGTAAAATGCCGACGAAGCTGCGTTCATATTGGTAGAGGAAGATCTTTCATAGAACCACGAGTTTTTTGTCTGATCAAGCCACTGTTCGTGTGTATGGAGGTTGTATGGCCAAGTTATAGGTTGGTTGAAAGTTGTACTACCTTCTGTGTATGCTTCTGTTAAAACAGGTTGAACTTCAGAAGCTTGTGAATTCTTTTCACAACTTGCCATCAGAGTAGGTGCAGTGGAGCCTTCTTCACTTGAACTTTGATGTCGGCATTCCTTCCGATACTTTGCTCGACGATTTGCAAACCATACCTGAATCCTTGATTCTGGAAGTCCTGTCTTTTCGGAAAGATCTTCACGAACTGAGTATTCCGGATAGTGACTTCGTTCGAATTCTAACAAAAAGATATATTGTATCAGGTAATTGTTCATAAGTTTGAAAATTAACAAGCTCTCTCCTGGTTAGATTGATAATCGATTAACTAATGCATTTTTGGGATAAAATTTTCCCCAATTCTTATTTGCTTATTTGTTGTTCGAGTCGATTTCGGCCATGCTGCAATCTTTTGGTCTGTTTATGAACGAGCGTTTTCAAGCGGAAGATGGAAGGGGGAGCATTAAAATCCAATCCCCTCTTACCCCCCACCCCCCTCATCCCCATCTACCTGGACTAGCTTCAAATTGAGAAGACTGAGAGTTTAATCAAGCGTAAATCACGGCCACCTTCCTCTTTAAACCACTTTCTCCTCTGCCCCTTATCAAGCTGAAAAATTCTCCGAGTTAATCAATTTTATTTTTCTTTAATTCAAACTCACCTTTCTCCAAAATGGCCACCTGTTTTTGGTTGAAAGTTGTGCGATAGCGAATATAGGGTTTCCTTTCTTCGCCTCCATCAGAAATCACAGGCGAGGAAGCAGCATCACTTTCGAAACTCTCAATACTACTTGCTGCGGAACGCTTGCGCCCATCTGTTGGAGTCATCCAATCAAGGGTTGCAAATGAAGTGACAGCCGGTGTCCAAATATCTTGAGAAGCGGGCGCGGAAACATCTTGAGGTATCATTCCTGAAATTCCGTAGGGTTGCTGCTCTTGCTGCATTTGATTGGCTGTAGTTAGCAAAGGCGTTAAAGATAATGCGGTAATCTTACTTTGATTGGACATTGGACTAAGAACTGGAGCAGTACAAGCCTTCCTCGGATCATTATGAGCTAAATTTGTGGAAGTACTATATCCAGAATGCTCAGGTACTGTTGCAACTGGTGGGTGGTAGTACGTTTCTGAAGTTGGCTTCCCAGTCGATGTTAAATTGGCATGGATATACCTTTGCGACCAAGTGGTGTTGCCTTGATGAAGGAATTGATTCAATCGGTTATACATATCTGGAGCTACAGAACTCTGGTATTCTGTGGGATTGATTGAAACTGAATTGGAGGCATAAAGGGCTCCGAAGTGAGGGAATGAGTCTCTTCCTGATGTGGTCAAATTTGGCTGATTCATGTAAGGTTGAATGGAATTTTGAGATGGCATGTTGGGTCCTACGTCTTGAATCCTCTTTTGGGATTCGGTGATTAAACTTCGGAGAACTCGATTTATGGAGGAAACCTGAAAATCGAAGATGATGCAAAATTGGCACTTATTTCATAAGTACAGGCATCTTTCACTTCAAATTAATTACTAACAGAGGATTTAAATATTTTCCAGCAAATAGATGACAAAACTTCCTGCTAAAAGCAAGTAACAAAAAGTCCATGGAAATAGCAAAGAAAACCGGAAATCAACTCCTCACTTCTCTTAACCTGGACTCTTTTGCTAACTTGAGTGGCGTGCTCACGTTGTTCTTTTTTTTTCTTAGCTTTTTCTCTCGTCCAATCGATTTAATGAGAGCCCTCCCCACCCCCCTCCCTCCTTCCGCCTTCGCCCCATCAAATGAGTATAAATACTGCTCATTGGATCGTTTTTATTCTGCCAAAACACCCGCAAATGAGTTTTTTTTTGCAAGAACACGGAGGAAATGTGTATTTTGGGGCAACAGCTTTTTTTCCTTTCTGAATTAATGCGCGTGTTTAAGGATGTTTCTTATTGCCCCTGTCCTTCCTAGTCATCTGCTAGATTACATCCGCATTACCAACTATGAAAAATGATGGCATGTAGGGGTAGATTCGAATAGTACAAAGAATTATGGATTCATTTAAGTTTGGAATACATGATTTTTCCGCATTGCTAGATGCGTTTATTTGTCCAAATCTTGAGTAACTCTCTAACACGTATAGCATATAGACAATTCGATTACGCCATTCAAGTGAGAACTAACGCATCGCAATCTTAATGCAAAACCATATAATGAATCTAAATAGAAAATATTGCATTCTTCTAGAGAATAGAATGGATCCTATTACTGATCATGGTTTCTGAGAGCAAGTTGCCTTCATATCTTTCATGGGAACAAACTTGTCATTGAATTTGACCATCTATTACAAAATTTAAATTTAATAAGAAGTTGATAAGAAAAATGTTAAAGGTGACAGACGCCATTAACCCAGACCCCATACCTCCACCTCTGTTCAAGCAAACGCACAAAAATAATAGTTCATGTCTCCAAGCACAGTCGATTCTATAAGATGAACTCAGGGTAAAAGAAATAAGTGAAATGGAGAATGAACTTACACTAGGTACATTATCTGATTTGCACACACCACATTGAATAAGTCTATCTCTGATCTCCCAAGCGAAAATGGAGGGGCATTCACGTTTGAGTTCAGCAATTTTTCCTACCACGGCGTCTGTAGCTACTCGTGGTTTGCTCCCACCAATAGCTTTCGGTCTGATGGAGCCAGTTTCGTAGAACCGACAAAGAATTTTGGAGACACAACCATTGGAGACCTGTAGCATTCGAGAGATATCACACGGTCGGGCTCCCGCCTGAGCCATCTCAACAATTTTTCGACGAATGGAATCTGGCAGCGGACGCCCATTTACGAATGCTCCGCCAAGTTGATTTACTCCAGAGTGACCTGGTTAGGAAGAGCATTAAAATGAAGTCCACTTACTGGGTGATAATAGCTTATGTGAAATAGGAATTGCGCGCTTTTACAATCCAAGTGTTACTATTCAGTTCAGCAATAAATTAAGCAACATCAAATTTCGCCTTAAAACAACGCGAAACTATCAAAAAATGATAACTAATTGATAAATGAAATCTTTGGTCCAATTTGCCCCAATTTACTCCTATCAAAAACGTATCTCCTTCGTTTGTGACACCTGTGGGAAATCAGATCTTCAATCCTGATACATCCAAGGTGACACCAGGGTATTTGAGGTAGATATGTATCGAAAATCTGGAGGAGGGGGGTGTCAGGAGCCGATGACTCGAGCTATCAAGAGTTTTACTTTGGGGTCGTTCATAAGTGTTATTTCAGCAGGGTCAAGTATCTTTTTCACCACCTAAAGAAGTCGATCTGATAGCTAGATTAGGTCAAACCTGACACCACCTATTAGAGCCAAATCGCTCGACTTTATGTTATTCAACCTCATTTTTGTCCAATTATCACTGCAAGTTATTGGATTTTTTGGTCAATTATATTCTAAGCGTTGTATTTCAAGAAAGAGAAATTAACTTAGTTCCAATCAGTTCATGAAATTTCATTTTCGAAATGCCCTTAAAAGGATTCTTGCTTAATTGGAATTCATGCCGAAGAATATTTGATATTCCAGCGCCTTTGATGTCAATTCGTGTTTGATACGATAAACAACTATTGTTTATGAGAAGAATTATAAGGCAGTCGGTCCAATGAAACGAAATGCTAATTAAATGAAAATTTTGTTAATTCTAAGGACCTTAAAATTAGAGTAAGACCATTTGATCTTTGGAATACATCTGCATTTTGAATACAATTTTCGATGACATGTGGAAGGTGGTACTTCAGGCTGATTTTTGTTTAAATGAAATAGCCAATTATGTTGGAGAAACAATGCCTACCATATATATTGATGAACTACGTAATCCGAGGAGAAATTGAAGTGATTCATTCCTATTTATTTTGGGTACCAAAAATATTTTCTGTTCTGGCTACTAGGTAATAATTAGGGGAGAAAATTACCTAAAATTAATAGAAATAAATAACTCCAATTCGCATGCATGACACAGAACCGAAAACCAAGTACACTCTGCAAAAAGAACACAATAAAATCCATCTTTCCGCTTACCAGACATTGTCTCCTCCCAATCACGGCAATCGATTTCCAGTGGATTAATTTTCGTGAAAGTAAATTAGGAAGAGTGGTAGCGTACTAGGAATAGAGGTGGTGGCGGGTTCTGTAGTGGTTTGGTATTGAATTATTTCAGCTCAATGAAGCGATAAGTGCACTCGTGCGAGCGTCTCTCCCGACGATGGACCGAAGATTAAGTGGAGAGGTAGCGTGCGATCGAAGAAAACAGGAAGAACCTGAAGAATCCACTCTTATTGAATCTTCCCACCTGTCCGTGAGAGTCTATTGGTTTAAACCAGCGCTCAGATTAGGCTCTACCGCCCCCCCCCCTTTTCGCTCGACCTCAGCCAAGCACACGGCATCTAAGGTTAGCTGTGTGCGCGGCCATCCGTGATAATTGGCCAATCGCGACACGATCTGGCCAGTCCACTTGACTGCGTGCATTGAGCTATTAGAGTAATTTGATTGGTTAGTGGTTTGTGGACGGAAATTATGCCAGGTGAGAACTCATTCTTCCGTGGTTATAATAACCAATTTTAGAAACTAAATTAGATTTAAACCTGGAATGTTTCTGTTTGCGCTTGAATAAATTCACTTTATATAAAGAAGGAGAAGAAGACGAAGCGTATCACAAAAAACTGACTTCTCATAGGAATCTTGATTCCTGCTTATATTATGATCCTTTAAAATATTTCATGTATTTAATATTAGTTCAAATAAATCAGAAATTATTTTTTTTATCAAGGGGGTAAAAAATATATATATGAAATATATGACTGTGGGAGGACTACTTAATTCGCCTCGAAGAAAGAAGTGCATATCAGACAAAATTGGCTTTTAAAGCGAATACTACAGCATCTTTCAATTTACAATTAGGACCTTGTTCTGTTGAACATCGTCCTCTAAGATTCTTCAGACCGTTAGGTTAGAGCTAGGCTTCACGGAAATTTGACAGATATTAGTGAAGCTGTTTCGAAAACTTGTAACCCTTAACTTTGGAGTAGTTTGTTTTCCACTTTCAGACATTTCGAATACCTAATGATCAATCAAATAGTAGTTAGTTGAGTCCCCTTTTGGCATTTTTTAAGTTCACTAAAGTCTCCAAATCCCATAATATTTTATCCAGTTTTTAAAGAGTTCATTATAAGCCCTAACAACCGAATCTGTATCCTTAAATCTACCTGCTTTCTTCTCAGGGGAAACCGTCTGTTCTCCCCCTTGAATTGATATGTGTAACCTGATGAATGGTATGCCCGTTGAGGTACTGCGACACTCATAGTGTTCGCTACTGAGGTCGCGCTTTCCGTCCCCTCCCTCCCCCCCCCCCCCCCCCCCCCCCCCCCACTTCTGAAGTTCCCCGTCCAAAACGTTGCGAAGATGCCGCTTCCCTGCTGAGATGTCTGTTTATAACGAAGTAAGGGGTGACACCAATCTCAGTAGCACTGTAGCAACTAAGCCCCCACCTTGTTGCTAGTTCGAGATATTAATAATTTATTATACCATACCACGTATCAGTGGGTTGCATATTGTGTCGTCATGTAGTTGTATGGGGCATTTGAGCAGGAAATTTTAATTCGCTTGTCATTGAAAGCAGCTACATAATCAATCAAGACTTGTGTTATACAAAAGGACCCTTCTCCGACACAAATATACCTAAAGTAAAGAAGGTGGTTATTCTGCAGAATGAGTTACATTCTAATTGGAATATGGAAGGTTTCAGTGATCACAAAAATTGCATAGAAAGGGTTCTAGTCGTGCTAAATTTGTTATATACTAAGAAATGCCAACATTTTTTAACTGTCGGGCATGATTTGAATATTAGTCAGCTAAATCGTCTTAACTTCTTGCGCCTAGATACTTGTTAGAACTGACTCAATCAGATAAATATGCACCTTAGGCTGACAACTAAAGTCACGTTGCCACGCCCTCTTCTCTAATCCTCTTTTTTTTAAACAGGGAGATAACACAAACTATGGCCAGGAAATTTTGAATTCAAATCAGTTGCTGACTGAACTGATCTGCTCAATCTTTTCATTCGCCTAAGGTAACCCTCATTAGGAGTAACTAATTCGATTTAAGTATTAAGTGGGGCATTTCAACTTCGCCTCTTTTAATTCTTTCGTTAATTGCTTTTTGATCTTGAGTCTGAGCATGAGACAATTTACATTCCTCCTGATCTTCTCTGCTCACAATATGAACACAATCAGTAAAATGCACCTTTGTATGAAAAGTACATTTCTATAAAATAGTGGCCACTGAGCTGTTGGCCAATATCCAACCTATAAATCAATTAATAATTTTGTTTTTAATGAGTTATCTAGACCACCAACGAGTGATTCTCCGGGTTATATCGACCGGCGTTTCTGTAAATCCAACTGTGAGGTTGACTTTAATAAACCGTAAGTGTTTTAAATTAAGTCCAATTGCTTATATATGTATTTTTTCAAAAGCAGTCGATTGTGACTGGACTCAGAAATGCAAGATTACGAAATTGCACATGGATAGAAATGTTACTTTACTTAAAAAATAGACAGCTTAATTGGGCATTGAACTCGTCTAATTGGGCAATCCGGGATTGCTGAAAGTTTTCCAAAAAGATGAAATACCATATCGGTTTTCAATGCATTGAATGAGATTTTGCAAAGACATTCAGACAAAATTTACAAATATTGAGATGAAATTATTAATTGGATCATGTTAGACACATAACCCCTAATTATTGAATTAGAAAATCTACCCATCCCCCCCCTCCCCTCCCCTCCCCACCCCTCCCC